GGGGGAAAAAGTGATTTTAGGAAGAAGCAAAAGTAGTTTCTGAGAAGCAGAAAAAAGTAGTTTCTTCCCAAAAGCAGAAGCAGTTTTGACTTTTCTTCTTACCAAAAATACCCATAATAAAATATAGTATATACTAAAATAACCGTTAAACCTAAAGCTTAGGATATTAATGTATAAGTATTTATTCTTATTTTTATTATAACTTTCTAATATATAGTGACTTTAGGGGTGAATACTTTTATATTTGTTGAATGATTTTTAATATATTTAACTTTTATTAAAAGAATTAAGTACTTTTTAATTTTATTTTCATATTTTATTTAAATAAAATGAAAAGATTTAATTATTGCCTATAATAACAAAATTTTGAGATTATTTAAATACTTATAATATTAACTATTAAGTAAATCTATCCATGTACTTATTCGTAATTTGATACTTAAAAGCACTTTATGAAAAGCTTGGCCAAACACAAATTATTGTTCAAAAGTGCTTTTCAAAGTGATTAACCAAACACAAACTGCTTCTCTCCAAAAGTACTTTTTTCAAAAGTACTTCTCAAAATAAGTAGATTTCTCCAGCTTGGCCAAAAATGCTATAAAATCTTGATCCTCAAATTGCTTATCAGGCTTAAGAATTAGGAATAAGTATGTGATCGTACATTTTCTGAAATGTTCTCTAACGAGGCTAGTTCTTTTGACAAGATGCCAACAGCATAACCTGTCTCTTCCTGATCAATTAAGAGCATATTGGAGGATAGTTTGCACTAGGTCGCAATAGCCTAGTCACAAATGACTAGTATTATACTGCAGTTTTATCCAACCGACTTAGTTACCTTCAGATGGTTGTATACATTGTCATGTTTGCTTCATTCTTTTTTAGTTGGCCTTCATTAACAATAGAAATGAATTTTAGGAGTTATTATAGGAGTTATTCCATTGGTTTATTGTTTATTTGCTATAATGATCGTGTGGGAAGGGGAGCCTTGGCATAACTGGTAACGTTACTGCCATGTGACCAGGAGGTCATGGGTTCGAGCCGTGGAAATAACCTCTTGCAGAAATACATAGTAAAGCTGCGTAAAATAGACCCTAGTGGTCCGGCCCTTCCCCAGATCCCGCGCATAGTTGGAGCTTAGTACATCGGGACTATAATGAGCGTGTAGAAATATCGTGTTTTCTAGTTTTTCCTTTTTTTCTTCTCACAAGCCAATGGATTGGCAAAGGTCCATATGCTAGCCTAGGCAAGTTGGATTGAAGTTCAAAGATGTGAACTTACTAGATTCATATGTCGGATGGTTAAATCTTAAGTTGCTCAGAGTCGAGTGTGGGTATCCGATACTTGTGCAGATCTAGAGGTCCAGATCGTTCATGATCTAACTTTTAAGATTTGAGAATACAAATATGGGTGCGGAGATTCGGCTAAAAATAATTTAAATATCTAAAAATAGAGTTATAAAACATCTAAATTATGAGATATGTGTGGAAAACTTACAAGGTATTCAGAGAAGGAGAAAATATTGATCAATGGGAGAATTCGAGTAGGAGATAAAAGGTAAATGACTAACATAAAAATTTCTATATATAAGGTATTCCATTTTCTTCAATTTCAGTCTAGCTTTTGTTTTGATTTCAAGAATCATTGTATCTGTCCGGAATTTCTTCCATTAATTTTGGTCAAAGTACCCAAAATCTGTTGATAAGATCATGTACGGATTCCACATCCCCATCGACACCCATATCGTGTCGACACGATTACGGCACCGAAATTGAAGAGTTCGAGCAACTTAGGTTAAATTACAACCAAAATGGAGCTAAATCTAGCAGAGATCCCGGTTCTGTTGTTGGATTAAAGCTCTCGCACTTATCATTGAATTCTATGGAAGTATCAAGAAACAGGTGAATGGTTGTTTTACTATAAAAATATAAAAACAAATTACTAAACAGTACTACTATTTTATGTTATCTCAATTCGGAAGTTGTCTTCCGGTGAAAATAAATATGATTTGTCTTTTGGGAAAATTTTAGAAATTTATTTTTTGTAAAAACATCAATGGTCATATATCAGATATTGTGATTCAACAAGCTTTCCTATATTCTTTGTTCTTCAAAAGTAATGGGTATAGTGAAGAGTTCCACATGGGTGCTTTAGGGGATGGGTGGTCCCCTTAAGATGGTTTGGGCAATCGTCACCTCATGAACAAGTTTTAGGGGTTGATTTAGAAATAATGTCCATTTAATATGGTATAAGTGCAGGACCCATCCCAGTTGTCGTTTCTAGATGTTGGTCCCCCATATTAAATTGTCCATGCTTCAAATGTCCAGTCCTGGGCATGATGGGGTTGTGAGGGGCCCATGTCGGTGCTTTAGCGGATGGGTGGCCTCCTTAAGATGGCTTGGGCAATCCTCACTTCATGAGCTAGCTTTTTGGGTTGAGTCAGGCCTACGGTCCATTTAACATATAGTCCTGCAATTACAGTGTCCAACCATGAAAGTGCGGTTGACTTCTCGTGTCAATTTAGGTTTTTAGTTTAAAAGGCTTATACAAAGAATAATCGAATGAGTTATTTTCAACTTTTAGTTGGTAGATTCTGTGTCCTATGTCAATTTTTAGAGTTATTATTACATTATTTCAGTGTTCCTCCTTGGCTATGGTTTTACTGCCTTACTGATTATTATGAATATTAAGATGGCTATCGTAACTTGAAAGTTGAGATGAAGTAATCCTTTTGCAAATTATTTCCAATGACAACTCTCTGCTATTGCATGTGATGTTTAATCAAGGTCAAGTACCACAAGTTTCGTTTGTTCATCTCCTTTCAGGATTTGTAATTACTGTTATGGCATGATGTTGGATATTAATTGGCATTTCCTTGCTTTGGTCAAAAGTTGATTGAATTTGTTTATTTCTTGTGCATCACTTACAGGTTGTTCAGCAACATCGCTTCTACAGTTATGTGAAAAACATGGTCTTGGCTTAACTGTTGAATGTATGGCATTGAGTTCAACATCTGATAATCTCTCTGAGGAACATTCGCTCCCTCCCTCGGGTGAGGTCAGAGTTGTTCCGGACTTATCAACCAAATGCAGACTCCCTTGGTACTAGTTGCAAATCTACGTATTATTTCTTGTAATATTCAAGGTTTTCTAATCTATTCTCTTGAATTTAAGCTTAAGATTTAGCTTCAGTATGCTGTATGTTGTCTTTTATTAAACAGTTGTGTGTAAATAATCCTAGTCTCATGTGTAGTAGGAGTAGAACATGTACTATATATAGGCTCAGTATCATTGTCCCGTGTATTATTTCTCACAATAGTATCAGAGCGTGAGTGAGATACATCCGGGAAAGTTGGACAGTTGTCGTGCGTCAAATTCTGGTGGCTTTTTGGGGCTGATTTGCGCCAGATCAGTCTCTGTTCGTATTGTGCGAAAACCAACACCACCACAGGGTCCCCAAGGCTTCCACAGCCAAATCCCAAAAAGAATTTCCGGCAATTGACTCCTCACTCGTTCTCATGCGCCGATCAGAGGCCAGGTTTTTCGGCGAGATCTACTCTACGCGCTGGTGCGCGTGGACCCTTTTCCGATCACTTTTTAAAAAAAATTCTTTGGAATAGTATGGTTGCCTCCCTTTTCCGAGCCTACCCATACTATTTTATTTTTATTCCGATCAATCTAAAATTTTTGCAGTAGCGATAGTAGTTTTTCGGCAGCTACAATATTTTTCCGGACGACACTCACATGGAGAATCCATGGAAAGGAAATGTCGGGTCTAGTCACTGTGAGATAATTTCATTTATCAACCAATTACCTATATCTTGGAGGATTGCTAAGCGGCCCCCCTGTCCTGGCAGGAGTTTAGAATTCTGATCCATCAGAGTGTCAACATATCTACAACCTGTCATTCATGTCTGCTCAAGAATGTCTAAGGCATACTTTCAATGTGAGATCACCATATCTGAGCTACACTGAGCGACCTCAATACCCAAAAAAGTATAGGCAGACATGAAGGAATTTGAGAAGTTGATGTCAGTTTCTGCTAGTCTTGAAAAGCAACAAGAGCAATGACAAAAGATGTTTCTAGTTCTTACACTCGCTGGGCTTCCTAATGACCTTGATTCAGTGTTTGACCAGATTTTGGCTAGTCCGACCGTCCCTACAGTTGATGAACTATTCTCTCGATTACTTTGTCTTGCTGTAGCGCCCAATCACATAGTGATCTCATCATAGACAACTGACTCCTATGTTCTTGCATCCCAGATAGTGGAAAATCTGGTATCTTAGGACATGGAGAATAGACGAGGAGGAGGTCGTTTTGGAAGGTCTCAACCCACGTGTTCTTATTGTAATAGGCTTGGGAACACCCATGAGGTGTGTTACTCTTTGCATGGTCGACCACGTAAAATGCTCATGTTGCTCAAATAGAGACTGCAGGTAATCAAAGGTTTTCTTTATCAGAAGGGGAGTATAATGAGTTTCTTCAATATCGAGCAAGTAAGCAGACACCTCCACAAGTAGCCTCTATTGCTCAGACTGATACTTCTGTTGGTGGTAATTCCTTTGTTTCTGTTTCCCAGTCTACTACTCTTGGACCATGGGTCATAAACTCATACGCCTTTGATCATATTTCTGGCAATAAGTCACTTTTGTCAAAGATTGTTAATTCTCAGTCTCTTCCCCATGTTACTTAGCTAATGGAGTTCAAAACAAAAGCAAAAGGAGTTGGACAAGCTAACCCCTTATCCTCTGTCACTTTAGATTCTATTCTTTATGTTCCTAGTTGTCCTTTTAATCTTGCATCAGTTAGTCGGTTGACTCGCTCCATCCGTTGTGGTATATACTTTATTGATGACTCTTTTGTTATGTAGGACCGCAATATGGGACGGATGATTGGCACAAGGCCTTTACTACCTTGACTCACTCAATCCTTCCACAACATGTCCAGTTACATATTCTCCAGACCTAATTCACAGACGTTTAAGACACCCAAGTTTATCCAAGTTTCAAAAGATGGTGCCTAGTCTATCTAGTTTGTCTATATTAGATTGTGAGTCGTGTCAACTTGGGAAACATACTCGAGCCACTTTTTCGCATAATGTTGAGAGTCGTGCGGAGTCTATTTTTTCTTTAGCTCATTTTGATATATGGGGTCCTAGTAGAGTCAGTTCAACCTTAAGGTTTCATTATTTTACTAGTTTCATAGATGATTACTCAAGATGCACTTAGATTTTCCTAATGAAAGATCGTTCTGAGTTGTTTTCTATATTTCAGAGTTTTTGTGCTGAAATAAAAAATTAGTTTGGCGTTTCCATTGGCGTATTTCGTAGTGATTATGCCTTAAAATATTTATCCTCCCAATTTCAGTAGTTTATGACTTTTCAAGAAATTATTCATCTGACATCTTGTCTGTATACCCCTCAGCAGAATGGGGTAGCAGAGAGAAAGAATAAACACCTCACTAAGACTACTCGCACACTTCTAATTGAGTTTCATGTTCCGCTGTGTTTTTGGGCAATGCAGTTCTCACAACTTGTTATTTGATTAATCAGATGCCTTCATTGTTCAATCAATAGCGACTCCGTATTCAGTATTGTTTCCTCAGTCTTATACTATCTTCCCCCTTGTATGTTTGGGAGCACATGTTTCGTTTGTATGGAAGCGATAAATTAGCTCTCCGTGCTCTTAAGTGTGTCTTCCTTGGTTGTTCTCGAGTTTAAAAGGAATATCGTTGCTACTCACATGATCTTCGTAGGTACCTTATGTCAGCCGATGTCACATTTCTTGAGTCTCGACCTTACTTTACCCCTTCTGAACACTTTGATATTAGAGGTCTTACCTATACCAACTCTTGAGGAGTTTACTATAACTCCTTCTGCATCTTTTGCCACAAAAGTCTTACCAATACTAACCATTGAGGAATCTAGTATTGCTCCTCCTAGATCCCCAGCCACAGGAACACCACTTTTGACTTATCATCGGTGTCCACATCTAGCATTAGGCCCGACTGATTCACGTCCTGCACCTGACCCTGCTCCTACTTCAGATTTGTCTCATCCTAGTCAACTGATTGCACTTCGAAAAGGTATATGGACCACACTTAATACTAATCCCCATTATGTCTCTTTAAGTTATCATCGTCTGTCATTACCCCATTATGCGTTTGTATCTTTTTCGTCCTCTATTTCCATACCTATGTCTACAGGTGATGCATTGTCTTATCTAGGATGGCGACAGACTATGATTGACGGGATGTTTGATGTACACACGGGATGTTTGTTGTTCGCCATTGGCCTCACTATCAGTTGGACATTAAGAATGCCTTTCTTAAAGTGATCTTGAGGATGAAGTTTGTATGGAGAAACCACTTGGCTTGTAGCTCACGGGAGTGTAGTGGTCTTGTTGCTTGCGCCGGTCACTTTATTGTCTAAAGCAGTCTCCTCGAGCCTGGTTTGGTAAGTTCAACACAGTTATCCAAGAGTTGAGCATGACTCGTTGTGAAGCTGATCATTCTGTGTTTTATCGGCATTCTGCTTCAAATCTCTGTATTTATATGGTGGTTTATGTTGACGATATTGTTATTAGCGGCAATGATCAAGATGGTATTATTAAGTTGAAGCAACATCTCTTTCAACACTTTCAGACTAAGGATCTGGGCAGATTAAAGTGTTTTCTGGGTATTGAGGTCGCTCAGTCTAGTTCAGGTATTGTGATCTCACAAGGAAAGTATGCCTTAGACATTCTTGAGGAGACAGGAATGACAGGCTGTATACCTGTTGACACTCCGGCGGATCTAAATTCTAAACTTCTACCAGGACATGGGGAGCCGCTTAGCGATCCTGCAAGATCTAGGTGGCTGGTTGGTAAATTAAATGACCTCACAATGACTAGACCTGACATTTCCTTTCCTTTGAGTGTTGTAAGTTAGTTTATGGATTCTCCAGGTGATAGTCATTGGGATACAGTCGTCCGCATTCTTCGATATGTAAAGTCAGCTCCAAGCAAAGGATTATTGTTTGAGGATCGAGGCCATGAGCAAATCGTTGAGTGTGAGCATGTGATTTTTGCCCTATATATGAATTACTCCCAGAAAATTCAAAAATAAAATAATTTTTGTTTGTTTGCAATTGTTGGGAATTTTCTGTTATTTTTCTTGTATTATTTGCATTTTTGCATGGCATGTTTATTTGTTAAATTAATAAAAAATACAAAAATATGTCGCATTTGTATTTAAGATTTAATTCTACAATTAGGAGTAATTAAGTTTGTTTTACAAAATAAAAATTACAAAAATAGGCATTTTTTGCTTTTTTAGCCTTTAATGTCCAAATTGTGTGATTGTGTTTTAATTGTAATTTAATTTTAGGTGATAATTATTATTAGGAGTTAATTATTGTTTTTAAGTTAATTTAGTTTATAATTTAATTTAGAATTTTAGTTTTTATTAATTAGCTTAAAAAAAAGAACAAAAAATAGAAGGAGTCAAAATTGGGCCAATTCTTGAATTAATCCCCATGCCCAAACCAATTTTACCCTACACCCAACCAAACCAAGCCCAAACCCTTAAAAATCTGATCCACCCCATCTCCCCACTCAATCTTGACCATTGATCTCTAGTAGATCCAACGGCCCGGAACTCACCCATTTTTTAATATAAAAACTGTTTAAAAAAACCTACCTCCCTCATTTCCAAACTCCCCATTCTTCCACTTCTCTCTCAACTCTCAATACCTAGAGCTCCCCAACTCTCTCTCTTCTCTCTCCTTCCATTTTCCGCTGCCACCCTCCGCCATCGGTGCCACCGCCCGCCGGAAATCTCCACCGGCGGTGGCCAACCTCCAAAAAGCTTCAAAATAACGNCCGTAGATCTTGGATCTAAAATGCCAAAACCCTAGATCTACTTCTTTTTTCATTTTTTCTAGTCATTATAAAATCCTCCGGTCAAGATCTTCCATCAAAGATCTTAGATCCAAGACGGGAGTCTTAGCTTGAGGTTTTTTTTTTTCATGATTAGACCCTTTAAATTTTATAA